TCCCAAGTAGCTGGGACTATAGGCGCCCACCACAATGCCTCGCTATTTTTTTTTTGGTTGTAGTTGTCATTATTGTTTGGCAGGCCTGGGCTGGGTTCGAACCCACCAGCTCCAGTGTACGTGGCTGGCGCCCTAGCCGCTGAGCTACAGCTACTAAGCCCGAGGTTCTTGTCAGAGAAATACTAACTTGAGTAGCTTCTAGTTATATTTTACTCAACTTTTGTAAGAACCCTTCTCACCTAGAAATGCTTTTTTACAGTTTTATTGGAATGTTTCTATTCTTTTGCTTCTCTTTTTAGGGTGTCCTTTGTGAATGTTATTTCTCTTGTATCTATAATAAATTTATACCATTTTTTTAACAGATAAAATCATTAGGCACCGGGCTTGTACCCTGAAGGATACTGCACATGCTATTATTGCAGCTGAACTGGATCCAGAGTTTAATAAACTCTGTGAAGAAATTAAGGAAGCAAGAATAAAAAGAGGTAACTTGAAGCAACGAACTTGCAACTGAAACCTAGTGGACTTTATTCACACACAAAGTTACTGAATTATGTTTTTTAAGGTTGCTTGTATTGTGAAAATAATATATCTTGAGGTATAATCTTCTGTTCATTTCTCATACTAATATGTGTCATGTAAATTATCAGATATTTAAAAACTTTACCTTCTATGAAAGTTTTCATGTGGCAGCATATATTACAGAAATAAAGTGGAATTTCTTTTGTAAGAATTTCTCTTTTTTAAAAATTTTATATTGATAGGAGGGTGCAAATGTTTAGGCTACATCGTTTTCATTTCTTTTCTTTCTTTTTTTTTTTCGAGACAGAGTCTCACTATGTCACCCTTTACTGGTAGAGTGCTGTGGCATCACAGCTCACAGCAACCTCAAACTCTTGGGCGTAAGTGATTCTCTTGCCTCAGCCTCCCAAGTAGCTGGGACTACAGGTGCCCACCACAATGCCTGGCTATTTTTCTGTTGTAGTTGTCATTGCTGTTTGGCAGGCATGGGCTGGGCTCAAACCCGCCAGCTCCGGTGTATGTAGCTGGCTCCCTAGCTGCTTGAGCTACAGGCGCTGAGCCTGTTTTCATTTCTAAGATAAAGTTCACGTTGTAGCTGAGCCCTTCACCAAGGGGGCATGCTGAACACCCTCACATTGTACATGTTAGGTGAGATCTTGCCAATCCCCTTTCCTCCTCTTGAGTACATCTTTGTAGTCATTGATTTATTTTCTTAGGGATTTAGTTATTAGATATGCTTTCATATCTGAAGAGGTTTTATTTTTTTGTCAGTTGACATCTAATACTGGTACCAATACTGGTACTTTTAAAAAGTTCTGGCTCAGCGCCTGTGGCTCAAGTGGCTAAGGCACCAGCCACCTACACCCAAGGAAGCGGGTTCGAATACGGCCCGGGCCTGCCAAACAACAATGACGGCTGCAACCAAAAAATAGCCGGGCGTTGTGGCAGGCGCCTGTGGTCCCAGCTACTTGGGAGGCTGAGGCAAGAAACTTGCTTAAGCCCAGGAGTGGGAGGTTGCTGTGAGCTGAGATGCCACAGCACTCTACCCAGGGGGACAGCTTGAGGCTCCTGTCTCAAAAAAAAAAAAAAAAAAAAAAAGTTCTTAGGAATACTGTTTTTTCCTTCTACTTATGTGTAATTTTGTTATTAGAAACACACAATTAGCAAATGTAGTTTGTTGATTCAGTTTATAATCTTGTTTTTGAAAAAAATTACACATTAGTAGGAAAGAAAAATGTAAAATAAATTCATGTACAATGTGATATATGCACTGGTTGAAGCATGTTCAGAGAACAGAAAACAGAGGCCTCCAAGTAGGGAAGCTAGCATTTTGATCAGAGTTTGAGGAATCAATACAGAAGTGTTCTCTAGTGTGCTAAGAGAAGGAAGTTAGTGACAAGAGGAAGAGCAAGTATTGCAAACCAAGCAAATAATAGCGTGTACATGGCACAGAGGTGTGTAATAGCTTGATGTATCAGAAAACTTTAAACTGTTTAGTATTGCAAAAGATATACAGAGTGGTGGGAAATATGGTTCAAGAGATGAGCCCTTCTTAAAGAGCCTTTCTCTGACCACCTAATCTAAAATAGGCTCTGGTAGCACTTGGCATTACAATAGATTGGGTTTTTTGTGATTTCTCTCTGCCTTAGACTATAAGCACTTTGAATGTTTTATTTATGGCTTTACTTCAGTCCCTAGAATGTATGTGGTACTGTATGTACCTATTACCCATAGCAGCTTAGACCTGCTGAATTAGATTCTCTGAGAATATTGAGGCCAAGAAATCTGCATTTTTAACAAACTATTCAAGTGATTTTTATGTACACTAAAGTTTGAGAAGCATTGCCATGGTCATTGAAGGTTCTTAAGCAATGAGATGATTTGGTCAAATTTGCTTTGGCAGCAAGAAATAGCATGTTCTCAGTGTGTAGGATAGGAAGATGAGAGATCAGTTTAAAAGCTATTGGAACCAATTTGGCAAACAGTTTGGCAGTTTCTAAAAAGTTAAACTTAGATTTACTATACAACCCAGTGATTTTAGTCTTAGGAATCTACCCAAGAGTAATGAAAATATATTCCCCCATGAAGACGTGCATATTTATAGGAGCATTATTTATAATGACTACAAACTGGAAGCAACCCAAAAGTCAATCAACTGGTGAATGGGTAAGGTGAATATAGGATATCCATACAGTGGCATACTGCTCAGCACCAAAAAGGAACCGTACATAGTAAACATGGATGAACTTCGTAAACATTGTGCTAAGTGAAAGAAGCCAGTCAGGGAAGACCATATATTATACAGTTCCCTCATGTGAAATGCAGAAAAGGCAAGTTTATAGGGACAAAAAAATGGAGTAGTGGGTGCATGGGACAGTTATCTAAAATTATATATTGCTGTGGTGATGGCATGGCTCTTTTATTAAAAATTATTTATTGCACACTCAACAGGTGATTTATGTATTATGTAAATTATATCTTAATGAAGCTGCTGGAGGAAGAAAAGTTGTTGTAATAGTCCAAGATTCTAATTAATGAAATAGGAATGGAGATAGAAAAGATCAATGTGTATGAAATCTAGCTGCAGGGGTGGAGACTACCATGAAGGGAAGAAGAGTTGAAATTGGCTGCCACATTGCTGTGGACTGTCAACTTAGAGATGCTAATACCGCCAGTATAGATTGGGAATATATAAGGATGAATGGTTATGTTTTATACGGTAAAATAAGTCATTTATTTTTAATTTGATGTATCTTTAGGATATCCAGTCAGATCAAGTTAGCAGTTGGATGAATGGGTTAGAAGGCAAGAAATGTTTGGGCTAAAGATACATATTTGAGAATTATTATATAATGATAGTGGAGGCTGGCCACAATGATACTTTGTCAGGGAAGATAAGATTAGAGTAAAAAGAAAAGAGAAATGTCAGTGTTAAGGACCATATAGGGGAAAGAAGTCTAGTAAAGAAAATAGAGATAGAATGATTACTCTTAGGAAGATAATGTAAGAAAACTAAATGTGCTGCATTATGATGTGACAGGCAGCAAATATTTTGACACTGGGACTATGCCCAATAAACACTGTACATTCTAAGATGGTAGAGATAATGACTTTTAGACAATATATAGTCTTACTGTTTCACAGTCATAATAATGTAAAATGTGTCCCTTTTTGAATTAAAATGAGTAAATTAGGGCCTCTGGGAATTGAGTGTAAGCATGGACTGCCAGGATGTTTTATTTTTATGGTTTTATATCTGGTTTCTTTCCCATCTTAAAACAAAAGACACTATTTCCATCAGAACTACAAACTGCCTAAGTATAATTAATGACTTCAAAACTCAGTTTTGTATTTCAGACTTTTTTTTTTAACCTTGTTGGTTTATGTAGCTGGGAATATTTAAATAGGTATTGCTTATCTTCTGCTTGCAGGCTTATCGGTAACAGCAGAACAAATAAATCCTCATAGTACTGGAGCTCGGAAGACAGAAACTAGAGTTGAAGAGGCATTTCGGCACAAACAAAGAAATCCAATGGATGTCTGGCACAACTCTGCAAATAAATGTGCATGTGAGTATTTGAGATCATGTTGTCCAGTAGTGGGAACAACTGAGAAGGATGCTGATGTGTTAGGATTGGGGTATAAACCGAAGTGCTGCTCTTTTCCCATAGCTCTTTTCATCTCTTTTCAGAGGTAAGATGCTGAATCAGAAATATATTTTTTTAACCTTATTTTCTATCCCTATTCAATATTTGCTATTGTAATTGAACTAGGTTTGAATGTCTTCAGTTTTAAACTTTGGTTTTTGGATTGACAGATGGCGCCAACAGGATTTTTATTCACCCCTGCTCTCCCCTGGCCTCCCCTGCCACCCCTTGTTGTATGCCATGTAGGATGTTCTCTTTATAGCAGAAAATACAGCATATGGAAGGACTGCTGTGGAAGTAGGAATTCTTGATTTTTCTGAGACTATTTTGAGCCCAGTTTGAAAAGTTTGCCCAGTCTTCTTTCTTTGTCTAGTTTTGTAAGACGTATTTAAAGGAAAATTAGTGTTCTGGATTTTCTTCATTTTACTCATCCTGTTGATCTGTGTTGCATAAAATTTCTAAAAGATAAATGTTAATAAACACAACATCTTCCTCATATAGTCCTCCTTTTTCACTAAAGATAGCCTTCTTTGGAAGATAGATGCTGTTCTTCTGGTGTAAAGGTGATAATACAGGTTTAGCATCCCTTATCTGCAATGCTTGGGACGCAGAAGTATTTTCGATTTGGGAATATTTGCAATATACGTACCAGTTCAGCCTCCTACATCTGAAATCTGCAATGCTCCAGTGAGCATTTCCTTTTGAGCATCATGTTGGTTAATTTTTAAAAAGATCTGGAGTTTGAATATTCAACCATAGTACTTCTGTCAACAATACTGGCCTTAATACGTTCTTTTACCCATGACATTGAATTTGAATGAATGTTACGTGCACTTTTTTTTTTTAGTATCTTTTTTCAAAAAATGTCATTTTCGTGTATAAGAAATTTTGAGAAAGGAGTTAATTAATAGTATATTCGGTTACTGTGAAGCCAGTTAAAGTTATTTGGCCTGGTTGTGTCCCAGATTATAACTTGGTTTGGGTAACATAACGCTCTAGTTTAAAACTAGAAATCCTTTACATTCCTTGCACCTGCTTGCAAATATTTACTAATGAAAATACATTAAATATTCACTTCAGCATCATTTAAGTGCCTTTAAATATTCAAAATGTTCTTTGAATCTACGGTTGTGTTTTGTTTTTCTTACCAGTAGGTGGCATATGTGACCCATCGTTTTTTGTTTTATATTAACTTACTTAAATCTTATATCTGAATGTCCCAAAGACAGAATTGCTTTCTTAAGGTCTTAGTTTTAGAAACAAGCTCAGTGAGATATGGCAGTTGACTCTAAAGATCGTACCCCTAAATGAGCTTTTCACACAAAGCACCCCTTATGAAGGAAGTGGTATATTAAGGATTAGGTCCACAAATATATATTCTTACCACATGTCAGCTACTGTGAATTTATAGTAGCAAGTGAAACAAAAGTCCCTATTCTTGGGGAACTTACAATGATCAATTTCTCTTATTTTACCAAAATCATACTATCAGAAATAACTATATAAGGAGGGGAAAAATAACTCCAGTTCTCCCTCCCAAAGAATAAGAACATTTTCTGTCATACTGTTAGGCAGGCTGAAGACATTACAGGAGTAACCTTGCTTTGGTAGGGCTTTCTAGGCTTTGCTTAGTGTACTGCATGTAAAGTAGTAATGGAGTTGGTGCTTGGCTGGGTGTAGTTCAGTCTCTTTTTGCTCTGGAGTCCCATAGCTTAGGAAAGAAAAGGGGGACCTCTTATACTTCTGTTACATGTTTGGAGGATATGAGAGGTTGTATTGTCAAGAGTGGCTTTTCAGGTAGTAAAATCTAACAGCTCTACTTTTCACAGTCAGTCCAAGCTGATGGTTTTTCTTTCATCTTTAATATGGACTAGATCAGCTGTTCATATAGTTAATGAAATGTTTACAAATGCCTGTCACCTGAGCCTATATACCACTGATACAGAAATTTTTTTCTCCATGCTAATTATCTTATAGCCATACATTATATAATAATAGAAATTAGAGAGCGCCCATAGCACAGTGGGTAGGGCATCAGCCACATACACCGAGGTTGGTGGGCTCAAACCCGGCCTGAGCTAGCAACAAAAAAATAGCCGGGCACTGTGGCAGGCGCCTGTAGTCCCAGCTGGTTGGGAGACTGAGGCAAGAGAATCGCTTAAGCTCAAGAGTTTGAGGTTGCTGTGAGCTGTGACACCCCGGCAGTCTACTGAGGGCAACATAGTGAGACTCTGTCTCGAAAAAAAAAGAGAAAAAAGAAAAAAGGTGGAAAGAATGAAGAGATAGTGATAACTATGTTATTGTTTTGAAGGGAAAATGTTTCAAGCTAAAAGACTAAATAACTTGAATTTTGGAGATGATTTTAGAAACCTTTAGTAGATATATTCTTAGATAAACTTAGTTATATCAAACTCCTTTTTAATCTATTTCTTATAAATACATTGGTGTCTTTGAAGCGATTCAATAGGATTGAATGTGAAAGGATGACAGAAGTTTGTAAACACACTATATGCTGTTGTTAGACTATGAGTTCACGTTAAGCAGTGTGAATGTAAGAAATAAGAGTTGATCATATCTCTTTCTGTCTTTATAGAGCAGAAACTATGGATTAAACAGTCTACGCTTGGCAATCCCATTTTTAAATTTTCTTTTAAAAATGTCTTTGCCCAATATATATGCCCAGAAACATTATATAAAGTCTTTACAAAAAAAATTAACCCAGACTTACTACCTTTATAGTCATAGGAAAAAATGGGTCATTTTTATTCACGTTTGTGTTTAAGCATTCTAAAGAACACTTAACTGTATGATGCACGTGTCCCAAATTTCAAAATAGAAATTAACTTTTTACTTATTTAAGGAGCAGTGGGGTAGGCTTGCCTAACCAACTATCTTTGATAAATACTATATGTGAAATAAAAAATTCCTGGGTCCATTATCACCTGAAAACCCTAGCTGTCTACTTATAAAGTTCTTGTGATAGTTAATAGTATCTAAGAGTATAGTCTCTAAAAATTTTATAGGTCTCCCTTTTTACATACTTGACCAAATACTTGTTTTCAGTGTTTTGTGAATTTGCTGTTGTTGTCTTGGTAGTGGAAGCTTAGTTTTCCTACATATTCTCAAATAACTTTGTAAGAAATTGAAGCTACTAGGTGAACCATTTGTGCTAGAAGAGGTTAACAGCTAGCTGACTAACCGGTCCACATAACCTTCACAGGGCTTCTACCTGCAGTCAGGTTTATTTTTCTGGGAGGAGAAGCAACAAAGACTTCTTTGTGAGGATACCCATAACTATTCTGTCATGTTGCATCAAGTCTTTATTTCCTTTCATGATTTAGGAGATAGTTTTTGCTGACACAGCATCCACCTTTGTGGTGGAAATGTAGGCTGTGGTCTCAAACTTTATGAAGTTTATTGCTGAGTAAACTCAGATAGAAAGTAAATTTTTAAAAAGTTTCATTCTGGGGCGGTGCCTGTGGCTCAAAGGAGTAGGGCGCCAGCCCCATATACCAGAGGTGGCGGGTTCACACCTGCACCCCCCCAAAAGTTTTATTCTGCAGTGTTTATCCCTGACTTCATATCCATTCCAATTGTAGGTTGTGCTGATTAGTTAGGAGGAATGTCAAGAACTAAGTTGTTTTTGTTTGTGTGTTATATCAGTGTGAGTTTACTTTCTTTTGGGTCCTATTTAGTAAACTTATGTACAACAGGTATTACATTCCACATTCTATAGATCTTTTTTCCTTCCTTTTAAAACAGTTCGGGTTCGGAGAAAATCAAGGCGGCGATCACAGTGGGGTAAAGGAATTATTAAGAAAAGGAAAGTCAATAATTTAAAAAAAGATGAAGAGGAGACCAAATTTGCCGACTATGAGAACCATACGGAGGACAGGAAGTTACTAGAGAATGGAGAGTTTGAGGTAAGCACTGACTGCCACGAGGAGAATGGAGAAGAGACTGGAGACTTATCTATGACCAATGACGAGTCATCGTGTGACATCATGGACATGGAGCAGGGGCAGAGGCTTAACAGTGGAGCAGGCACAAAGGAGAACTTTGCATCTACCGAGGAGGAAAGTTCAAATGAATCTCTACTGGTCAACAGCAGCAGTTCCCTAAATCCAGAACAGACATCTAGGAAAGAGCCTTTCCTTAAGGGAAACTGTCTAAATGGGGAGGCTTCCACTGACAGTTTTGAAGGAATACCAGTCCTGGAGTGTCAGAATGGCAAAGTTGAAGTAGTTTCTTTCTGTGATAGTGGAGATAAATATAGTTCTGAACAAAAGATTCTTCTGGAGGACCAGTCAAAAGAAAAAATAGAAACTTCAAATGAAAATCATGGAGATGATCCTGAGAAACTAGAGGCACTGGACTGTAGCAATGAGAAGTTAGAGCCAGGCCCTGATGTGGAGGTTAAAGATGCAGAACTGGATAAAGAAGGTAAAATTAATATTCTAAAAAGATCTGAAGGCGTAAACTCCAGAGTTAATTTATTGCATATTTTGTTGGTTTCCCAGTAGCAATAGTTGATGAATAATTATGCCCCTCTGAGAATCTGTTAAAATTTTCATCCTTTTCCCTAGAAAAGTGTGTATGTACATACTAAATTTTGCTGTAAATTTAAGAGGGTTTGTGGTCTCAAGTGCCTTGCTGCTTACTCTTCTGCCTCCCACATGATTATCACCCCTGTCCTCAGGGATATATGACTAAAAGCTGAGTAAATCCACAGGTGTCAAATAGATGAGTTTCAACAGAAGAATTATTGGAATTGGCTGGGAGTGGGCTGACAAGACTTGAATATTATATCTGCATACTATATCAGAAAAAGTCATATACCTAGATTAAGGTACCACCACTATTCATTATAATCATGTGACTTTGAGCTAGTGATTTTCTCCAAACTTATTTTTTTTTTCATATAGCAAATTGAACTTCTGAATGATGTTGTTTCAGGGATTAAATAAATTGTGTATTTTAATTGCCTCTTATGGCAACTGGCACATACTAAGGTGTATTCATTCCAGACAGTCATTGGTACTTGCATCCAAGGGCTGTTGAGTCTAACAGATACTACTGCTTTAAGTCTAGCAGTGGAGGAAAGAAGCAGAACCTTCCTTCTCAAGTTCACCTTGTTCTCAGAGAATCAGGGCACTTGGCCAGCTCCTGATTTCCTACGGCTACATGCTTCTTCTAAGAAGCAGCAGAGAGGGGAGTTAAGGATTTCTAGCCTGTCTTTGTTTATCACTGTTCTTCAGCTCATAGTGGGATGGGGGAATTGATAACTACCCTGCTCAATAGACATTTCCTTCATGGATGGATGCTATTCCTGTACTAGGCTATCTTGAAATTGTTTTGTGCTCTCTAAATTATATGGAGCACATACATAGCTTTAGTTTGGGATTTGGTCTATGTGCTAACAGTTTTTTTGCTGCCAGTTCTTTAGGCCCTCTAGCAGAATTAGGAAATAGGAAAATGTTATTCAAAGTCTAAGAATTCTTTTAATGGACAAAGTGAGGTTTGTTGTTCATAATTGCTACCTTTTGAGAATTTTTCTTATTCCTCAATATTTAATAATAGCAGTTTCAGAGCAATATTCTGGGCTATCAGAGCTTTTCCCCCTTCCTTTTATTATTTATTTTTGGGCTATCAGAGCTTCAAAGTTATGTTAAAGCTAGGGTTAAGTAATGAGCAAGACAGGATGGGACAAAAGGAGAAATGTACAGTATGAGACAGAATGGGTGGAGGTAGAGGAGTCTGTTTCAATGCTACTTCTTTATGAAATGTCAGTAGGCTTATAAGAAAGGCTTAAATTAATATTATGTTCAATTGGTGATGGAAAAGCTTTAAAGATATTTCTTGTATAAAAGTATAACCTGAAGTTTTTAGTTGGAGTTGTCAGGACAGTATTACTTAGTGCAGTGGTCCCTAATCTGGATTCTCAGACCTCTAGAAGTCCATAGATGTAGTGATAAGGATCAATCTGGTTTTAACGAAACTCCTTGCACAGGTTAATAGAACTGTAGAGGCTTTGACTTTAAAGGCCACCTGAAATATAAGACTTCTCTGATATATCACAATATATCTTTTTGAAGACAACACTTTGGTTCTGTTATTGTTTATCTATAAAACAGGTATTGATGAGAAGGAAGAGTTTAAAGGCTTGGGAATACGAGAACTGACAGGAGTAGTGGCCTTGCATTGGGACTCTCAGTGACTAAGTTCTCCTTAGTGTCCCTGATACAGGCCATGTCCTGCATGAAATTCTGGAACAGTCTAAGATTGTCTTTGTGTTCCTTTCCCTGCACTCTCCCCTTAGAGTAGTTCTGCCTTGGGGAACTGTAGGGCTTAGTGATCTGCCTACTCTCTTTGTCCCGCAAAGTGCCTGGGTCTATGAAGTAAGACTCACCTACCTCTAAATTTCTGTTTTCTCAGTGTGGCTCATCTCAACAAAACATTGAGAGAAAAGTAATTAGATTATACTAATACATTCCAAGGTAGGAAAGAACACCAGCTCTATTACACTGTTAATGTGTTTTAATTAATTAATTTGTTTGTTTTGTTTGTTTGTTTGTTTGTTTTTTGAGACAGAGTCTCACTATGTCACCGTGGGTACCGTGGCATTGCAGTTCATAGCAACCTCAAACTCTTGGGCTTAAGTGATTCTCTTGCCTCAGCCTCCCATGTAGCTGGGACTACAGGCATCCATCACAATGCCCAGCTATTTTTTGGTTGCTGTTGTCCTTGTTGTTTAGCTGGCCCTGGGTCGGCCTCGAACCCACCAGCTTTGGTGTATGTGTGTGGTGCCCTACTCACTGAGCTACGGGTGCTGAGCCTGTGTTTTTATTTTTAAGGGGAAAAAAACATTAAAACCCAGAGCAATCTCTAATAGAATTTTAGGCAGTGTAATAGAGAAAATAAGAAACTTCAGGCAATAATGAGAATGTTTTGGGTACGTAGGCAATAATGAGAATATTTTGGGTAGGTAGGCAAATGTGTAGACAGATTGGCCCCACTTTGTATTAGTATCTGCCTTTCTAGATCACTTCTTTTTCTTCCAGTTCTGCACACTCCAGATTTTAAAATGATAGGGACTGCTTTTATTTTCCTTTTGGTGGGTATGTTTATTATATGATATTCTAATATGACTTGGCTTGTTAGTTGTAGTACAGTCATTTTTAATTTGGGCTATTTATTCTTTTTTTTTTT